TGAGTGAACAGCCGAACATGCCAGGTTTAAGCGAAAAAGCATCTCGCACCTTAATTCGGCGGAGGAGGCGTCAGGCGTAGACGGCAAACAGACTCGGCGAGGTCGCGTTTGCCGGTGGGAGGGGCGGAGGGAGTCGCCGGAGGCGGCGCCGTAGAGTTCGACACTTCGACGAATCGACGGTGGAGGAGCGGACGAAGTCGGGAAGAACTGAAGAAGATGAGAGGTCAGAGAGAGACCTAGGTTTTGTCACTTTTGTGTATTTATAGGAATTGGAATTATGCTATTAGAACCCTCTAACAATTTTGCACAAAAATCCTCTTACTTTTTCATATCTATAAAAGGTATAGAAGTATTATATTGGGGCCCCTATTTTTTGAGGCCCTAGGCGAAGGCCTCTCCCGCCTACCCCTAGGGCCGGCTCTGCCGCTGCCGCTCTCCGTCTCGCCCTCACAATTACAGAGTGACATCCTTTATGGAAATTTTACATATATGATGCTCCCTCAATGTCAACCTCTTGTTCAAGGACACTGTTGCATTTTTGCCGATGCAAGTAAACTTTTTTGTGTTTCATTATTATTGTTTAATAAACAAATTGACATTGGGTCATAGTTATTTGCATTCTGGAAACTTGCCTTCATCTCAGGCTGCATTCTCGAGTTTGACTAGTGTTGGTCTTTCTTTCTGGAAATTATCTCCTTGTGTTTATTTTGTAGATCGTGTTGACTTTTATACTACTGATTTGCTTTGAGTTTTTTCATGTTGTCGTAGCTTTCTATAAGTCCTTTATACATAAGCATTTTTGGAATTCCTATTATGAAGTTCATAGGCTTTTTCATTGCGACTTAAATTGCCGGTTTCTTTTTAGGACTCATCAAATATACATTAGATCTCATCCTATAAAAGGTTGTTAGTTCTAACTCATCGCGTGTTAGTTCTAGTTCTAATTCATGGCTCTTGGGATCTTGTGTTAATTCTAACTCACCGCGTGTTAATTTTAACTCATCGCGTGTTAGTTCTAGTTCTAATAATGGCTCTTACCTTCTCCAGGTTCTTGATCGTGGTAAGAAAATTGAGCTCCTTGTTGACAAAACTGAGAACCTCCGCTCCCAGGTATGGATCTCTATATTTCAAATTTTGGTCAATTTAAGACGGTGCTAAGCTCAAACTTTACTGGTGAGGTTCCTCGAATGAATGTTTGTAGGCACGAGACTTCAGGCAGCAGGGAACAAAGATGAGGAGAAAGATTTTGTTTCAGAACATGAAGATAAAAATGGTTGTTCCTGGCATCCTCGTCGCCCTAATCCTCGTCATAATCTTATCGGTTTGCCATGGCTTTAAATGCACATGAGCTGCAATCTTCCTTTTGCTCGTTGGACTGACCCTGATTACTACTGCTTTTGAATCTAGCTGAATATATCATTTACTACACATAAGAACCAGTTCTTTCTTTTTTAATCTTGATATATATAGCATTCCCTTGTGATTGGTGAAGTTGTGTTAGTGTCTTAACATGTCCATTTTGTCGTGTTAGCAAAGTTGTCCAGGGGATGCTTTTTATTCCTTTGGTTTCTTACTTCGCATTTCTTTTTTTGCTTTTGTTTTGGATGTTACGATGCTTGTATAGCTTAATAACATATTCACATATTCTTTCTAGCTTGATGTAATTGTTACTATCAGTTATATTTATCTTACATATCTTTACTTTCATTTTTTTGTTTCCTGTAACTACGGATAGACTCCTGTGTATGGTTGTTTGAACTTCCTCTCTAGTTTTGTTATTGCAGATGACCCTATGAATGTTTGATATTTTATCTTAACTCTCACCGTGTGTTAGTTCTAACTTATTGCGTGTTAGTTCTAGTTCTAATTCATGGCTCTTGGGCCCTTGTGTTAGTTCTAACTCACCGCGTATTAGTTCTAACTTACTGTGTGTTAGTTCTAATTCTAATTCATGGCTCTTGGGCCAATGTATTAGTTCTAACTCACCGTGTGTTAGTTCTAGTTCTAATTCATGGCTCTTTGGGCCCTTGTGTTAGTTTTAACTCACCGTGTGTTAGTTCTAACTCACTGTGTATTAGTTCTAGTTCTAATCATGGCTATTGGGCTCTTGTGTTAGTTCTAACTCACCACGTATTAGTTCTAACTCACAGTGTGTTAGTTCTAATTCTAATTCATAGCGCTTGGGCCTTTGTGTTAGTTCTAACTCACCGCGTGTTAGTTCTAACTCACCACGTGTTAGTTCTACTTCTAATTCATGGCTCTTTGGCCCTTGTGTTAGTTTTAACTCACCGTGTGTTAGTTCTAACTCACCGTGTATTAGTTCTAGTTCTAATTCATGGCTCTTGTGCTCTTGTGTTAGTTCTAACTCACCGCGTATTAGTTCTAGTTCTAATTCATGACTCTTGGGCTCTTGTATTAGTTTTACCATGAATTAGAACTAGAACTAACACGCGATGAGTTAGAACTAACACAAGAGCCCAAGAGCCATGAATTAAAACTAGAACTAACACGCGGTGAGTTAGAACTAGCACGTGGTTAGTTAGAACTAACACAAGGGCCCAAGAGCCATGAATTAGAACTAGAACTAACACACTGTGAGTTAGAACTAACACAGGGTGAGTTAGAACTAACACAAGGGCCAAAGAACCATGAATTAGAACTAGAACTAACACACGGTGAGTTAAAACTAAAATAATGGCCTAAAAGCCATGAATTAGAACTAGAACTAATACACAGTGAGTTAGAACTAGTACGCGATGAATTAAAACTAACATAAGAGCCCAAGAGCCACGAATTAGAACTAGAACTAACAAGCGGTGAGTTAGAACTAACACAAGAGCCTAAGAGGCATGAATTAGAACTAGAACTAATACACGGTGAGTTAGAACTGACACGAGGGCCCAATAGCCATGAATTAGTACTAGAATTAACACGCGTTGAGTTAGAACTAACACAAGGGCCTAAGAACCACGAATTAGAACTAGAACTAACACACGGTGAGTTAGAACTAACACAAGGGCCCAATAGCCATGAATTTGAACTAGAATTAACATGCGGTGAGTTAGAACTAACACACGGTAAGAGTTAAGAGCAAATGTCAAACATTCATAGGGTCATCTGCAACAACAAAACTAGAGAGAAAGTTCAAACAACCATACACAGGAGTGAATTCAGTACTTAACAAGTTTGCGACCATTGGGGCAGCTCTGATGGCTCATTTTAGCAGGCGATCTCTCACCTGCTAACTTGCGCCACTGCCGAAGTCAAATGGGGAAGAAGAAGAAGAATAGTGGAAGACAGTTGTTCAACATTGGTCTCCGAGCATCCAATTCAAGCTTGCTCTCACCTGCGGAGCAATCTCAGCTTAGATCTGATGATGATGATGAAAGTTCTCCTGGTATAATGGGTTCAACTGGTCCAAAAGGTGAAAAGAAGAAGAAAACAATGGCGGATATTCTTGATTCTTGCAACTCTCAATCTGTAGCTCCTCTAACTGGGGTTCAGGTACGTAGTCTGAGTAGATCTCATACTTCTGGTGTGGAAACTTCATCCAGGGTATCTTGGGCTGATGATCTTGATCTAGATCTAGAAATGGATTCTCCTCTTAATCCAGTTTTTTCACCTGTTAAAATTTCCTCTGTGTCTCCTATGAATCCTATTTTGAATTCTGGAAATAATAGTGCTCCTTTGAGAAGTTCTGGTATCGGTACTGTTCCATTGAATTTTGAAAATCAAGGAAATGCTATTAATTTGGAATCAGATAAACAGGATGAGATCATTCCACCACCAGTTCTTAATGATGCTCCAAAAGAGATTCCTAAAAGAAGTTGGGTCAGTTTTTTTGCTGATAATAGAAAACAGGGCAGTGGTTTAGATCTGAACTATATTCCCCCTGTATCAAAGGATGTGGTTTCTTTTAATGATGAAGAATGGAATGAAGGGGTTCAAATCTGGCAGTTCTCCCTTGTTGGTCAGGTTATGGGGTTGAATGTCAAATTTAAAGCAATGGAAGGTTTCATTAAGAAAGTTTGGTCTCCTATAGCTCTGCCTGAGATTAATCTTCTCAAATCTAGAGTTTTTCTCTTCAAATTCAATAATAAGGATGATATGAATAATATACTTTTATCTGGTCCCTGGTTTTTTGGTTCTCGACCAATGTTATTGAAGCCTTGGACAGTGGGGGAGGATTTTGAAAAGATGAAGGATTGTATCTATCCATTGTGGATCCAGCTACCAGAGCTAAAATTAAACCTATGGAATGCTAAGGGAATAAGTAAAATTTCTAGCACTATAGGCCATCCCATAGCTACTGATATGCTCACTGCAAATATGAAAAGACTGGCATATGCTAGAGTGCTTGTTGAGGTTAAAATGCCTTCTCCTCTCCCTGATCAGATAGCTATCAAAGGGCCTGATGGTTCACAATATTTTCAAAAAATTATATATGAATTAAAACCAAGATGGTGTGATCACTGTAAAAATGTTGGGCATGATACTAATTTCTGCAAAAGACATTATCCTGTGCAAAGATGGGTCCCTAAGCAAAGAAATATTGCGGTTCATCCTGGTAATAAATCTAGCCTGGCTGCAGGTGAAGTCCTGGAGAAACAATATGATGATCCTGTTGGTAATCAACATGCTGACAGTATTAGCTTGCATCCTCCTGCAGAGAAAATTGGAGTTGAAACTATGTCTTCAACCAAAAATTCAGAAGAAGCGACTCCAGCTAGTGAAATGAACAGTGCTGTGCACGTTGTGCATGTTCAGCCTGTTTTGGAAATAAATAAGGGAAAAGAAGCTATCCTTACTGGAAACTCCTGGACTCAAGTTCATAGAAACAAAAGTAAAGGAGTAAATCCATTCTCTCCTCTTTCCAACTTGATATCAATCCTAGACCCCTCAAATATTGATAGGGGGGGAACAAACAAATGAACCTGTTATTTTGGAATGTTAGGGGATTGAACAAATCCCCTAAACAGCATTTGGTTAAAAAACACCTTATGCAATACCATCTCTCTTTTCTAGCTCTTCTTGAAACAAAGCTGAAGCTCAGTAATGTTCAGGCTATTGCTAAGAAGATTGATATTAACTGGCAGTGGTTTTCTAATGCCAATAATTCAGACAAAGCCAGAGTTATGATCTTGTGGGATCCTAATATTTTTGATGTCCATATCATCTGTTTTTCTGCTCAACATATCTCTTGTGCTGTCAAGTCTCTGGATGGAAGACTAAATTGCATCATTTCCTCAGTTTATGGATATAATCATGCTGATGCTAGGAAGCTGTTATGGAATGAACTCTCTCAAATTCAGCAAAATTTAGGTAATCTGCCTTGGTTGTTGTGTGGTGACTTCAATGCTATGATCTCTGATGATGAGAAACTGGGTGGTACTGCTCTAACAGAAGCTGATACCTATGATTTCAATCAATTCATTGATACCTGCCAGCTTTCCCATTTGAAAACCATTGGTTGTTTCTTTACTTGGAATAACAAACAAGATGCGGCTACCAGGGTTCTGAGCAGACTGGATAGAGCTTTAGTCAATGATCAATGGATAAATACTTATAATTCTAGTCAAGCAGAATTCCTTTTACCCAGTTTCTCTGATCATTCTCCTGCACTTGTTACAATTTTTGAGGATCAAGTGCATGGTAAAAAGCCATTTAGGTTCTTTAAAATGTGGACCAAACATTCAGACTATCTGCCTACAGTGTCTTCCATCTGGAATACTTCAATTGATGGTCACACCATGTTTTCTATTGTTTCAAAGCTTAAACTTCTGAAAACAGCTCTGAAGGATCTTAACAGAAGGCACTTTAATAATATCAGTGAGCAGGTTTTGAGAGCAAAAGCTAATCTGGAAAATGTTCAAAAGGCCTTATCATTAGACCCTCTTAATGATGCTCTCATAAGGCAAGAGAAGGATTATATCTCTTCTTTCAATAAGCTGTTAGATTGTGAGCTTTCTTTCTACCAACAAAAAGCTAGAATAAATTAGAATCTCCAAGGGGACAGGTGCACAAATTTTTTCCACTCTATTGTCAAAAGCAACAGGCACAAGAATAGAGTCATGGTCCTGTACAACAACAATGGCATTAGAATTACTGAGGGTGATATGATTATCCAGGAGCTAATTTCTTACTATAAGACCCTGTTAGGATCATCAGTTCCTACTGTCCCTCCTGATACAGATATAATCAAAAATGGCCCATGTCTCAATGACCTCCAAGCCAGGGAATTAGCTAAGCCAGTCACAAAAGAGGAAATCAGGAATGCAATCTTCTCCATGTCAGATGAAAAGGCACCAGGCCCTGATGGTTTCAATGCTTCATTTTACAAATCTGCTTGGTCCATTATAGGAGATGAAACCACAAAAGCTATAGTGGATTTTTTCAAGTCTGGTAAGCTTTTGGGTACAATAAATTCAACTGCTATTACTCTTATCCCCAAGATACAATGTCCTTCAACTCCTGCTGATTTTAGACCTATCTCATGTTGCAATTGTATCTATAAATTCATCTCAAAGATTCTAGCTAACAGATTACAATCAGTTCTGGGGTTTATCATCAGTGAAGCTCAGTGTGCCTTTGTAAAAGGTAGGCAAATCCAGAACAACATTTTATTGGCTCATGAGCTAGTAAAGAACTATGGAAGGAAGCATCTGTCTCCCAGAGCCATGCTTAATATTGATATTAGGAAGGCATTTGACACAATAAACTGGGATTTTCTGGAAAATATGCTCAGGGGCCTGGGATTTCCCAATACTTTTGTTGACTGGATTATGACTTGTATATCATCTCCTAAATACTCCATATCTCTTAATGGCACCTATCATGGTTATTTCAAGGGAGCTAGGGGATTGAGGCAAGGAGATCCTCTCTCCCCTTACTTGTTTATCATTGGTATGGAATATCTATCAAGGGATTTGTGCAAACTGAACAATGACAGAGAATTCAAATTCCACCCCAAATGCAAAAGTCTCAGAATATCCCATCTAATCTTTGCTGATGATCTGTTATTATTCAGTAAGGGAGATGTTAAATCTGTCATGAAGATCTACCAGTGTGTCAGGAGTTTTGGTTCTGTCTCAGGGCTTGAAGCAAATCTCACTAAATGTTCCATCTTCTATGGAGGAGTTGATGACAGAACAAAGAATGATATTTTCAGTCTCATTGGTTTTCCTGAGGGGATTTTACCTTTCAAATATCTTGGTTTACCACTGATTTCTAAAAGACTGTCTTATGTTGATTGCAGTCCCTTATTCATGAAAATTTCAAACCAATTTCAGATTTGGTTGAAACACAGGACCCTCTCCTATGCTGGCAGAATGCAAATAATAAAGAGTGTCATTCTTGGAGTGCAAATTTTCTGGACTTCCTGCTATATATTGCCTTCTAAAGTCCTTCAAAAAATTGATGATCTCTGCAGGGATTTTCTTTGGGGCAAGGCTGATCATAAGTTCAAAGCTCCGCTAGTCTCTTGGGATAAAATCTGCACAGGGAAGAAGCAAGGAGGCCTTGGTATTTTTTCAGCCACAAACTGGAACTTGGCTACTGCTATGAGAACTCTATGGTATGTGCATTCTAACAAGGAACTTCTGTGGATTAAGTGGGTTCATGGCACTTATTTAAAAACCTCAACCATTTGGCAAGTTGAAAGTAAAGCTAGTGACTCATGGCTATGGAAACAGTTATTAAAAGCAAGGGATAAAGCTGCAAATCTTTTTGGTGGGACTGATAACCTCATTCAGAACATCAGGTCGTGTTATATTAACTCCAGGATTCACCTTTCTGGCCTGTATAAGCTTTTATCCCCAGTAAACATCAGTGTTCCTTGGTCGGATACTGTCTGGGAGGTTTTTAATCTTCCTAAACACTCTTTTATTTTGTGGCTAACTATTCAAAACAGGCTACTCACAATGGATAGATTGATCAGAAGAGGGATCATTCAATCAAATCTTTGTTCCCTGTGTGAAAGAGATGCTGAAAGCCATTCGCATCTGTTTTTTGATTGTCATTTCTCTATGACAGTTTGGAATGAGGTGATGAGTTGGCTCAAGTTCAAGTGGAGGACATGTAACTGGAGGATGCTTCTTGATTGGTATTGCAATAGATTAAGAGGGAGAGGCTTCAAATTGAAAGTGAAGAGAATGGCGCTGGCAGCAGTGGTATATAACATCTGGAAAGAACGAAACAATAGGATCTTCAATCAAAAGAAGAGAGCTCCAGAGCAGATAGTTAGAGACATAAAGATTGGCATATACTCTGTCATCCTCAACAATCCTCTAATGCCGAACGAAGACAGGGAGTGTTTCCTCTCCCTGTAGAGCTTTTTACAAATGTTTTATACTTTTGCTTTCTTGTTTTGTTTTTACAGTTACCAGATCCCATGAAAATCTGTGTAATTTGATGTACTTAACTTTACAGTTTTTGGTTTGTGAATAAAATCTTTCATTTACCAAAAAAAAAACCATACACAGGAGTCTATCTGCAGTTACAAGAAACAAAAAAAAAGAGAGTAAAGATATGTAAGATAAATATAACTGATAGTAACAATTACATCAAGCTAGAAAGAATATGTGAATATGATATTAAACTATACAAGCATCGTAACATCCAAAACAAAAACAAAAAAATAAATGCGAAGTAAGAAACCAGAGGAATAAAAAGCATCCCATGGACAACTTTGCTAACACAGACAAAATGGACATGTTAGGACACTAACACAACTTCACCAATCACAAGGGAATACCATATCAAGATCAAAAAAGAAAGAACTGGTTCTTATGTGTCGTAAATGATATATTCAGCTAGATTCAAAAGCAGCAGTAATCAGGGTTAGTCCAACGAGCAAAAGGAAGACTGCAGCTCATGTGCATTTAAAGCCATGGCAAATCGATAAGATTATGACGTGGATTAGAGCGATGAGGATGCCAGCAACAACCATTTTTATCTTCATGTTCTGAAACCACATCTTTCTCCTCATCTTTGTTCCCTGCCGCCTGAAGTCTCGTGCCTGCAAACATTCATTCGAGGAACCTCACCAGTAAAGTTTGAGCTTAGCACCGTCTTAAATTGACCAAATTTTGAAATATAGAGATCCATACGTGGGAGCGGAGGTTCTCAGTTTTGTCAACAATAAGCTCAATTTTCTCACAACGATCAAGAAGCTGGAGAAGGCAAGAGCCATTATTAGAACTAGAACTAACACATGGTGAGTTAGAATTAATACACTGTGAGTTAGAATTAACACAAGATCCCAAGAGCCATGCATTAGAACTAGAACTAACACACGGTGAGTTAGAACTAACAACCTTTTATAGGATGAGATCTAATGTATATTTGATGAGTCCCAAAAAGAAACCGGCAATTTAAGTCCTAATGAAAAAGCCTAAGAACTTCATAATAGGAATTCCAAAAATGCTTATGTATAAAGGACTTATGGAAAGCTACGACAATATGAAAAAAACGCAAAGTGAAACAGTAGTATAAAAGTCAGCACAATCTACAAAATAAACACAAGGAGATAATTTCCAGAAAGAAAGACCAACACTAGTCAAACTCGGGAATGCAGCCTGAGATGAAGGCAAGTTTCCAGAATGCAAATAACTATGATCCAATGTTAATTTATTTATTAAACAATAATAATGAAACACAAAAAAGTTTACCTGCATCACCAATGCAACAGTGTCCTTGAACAAGAGGCTGACATTGAGGGAGCATCATGTATGTAAAATTTTCATAAAGGACGTCACTCTGTAATTGTGAGGGCGAGACGGAGAGCGGCAGCGGTGAACTCCGACGTAGTTGAGGGCGAGCTAGGGAGCGGCGACGAGCTACGACGAAGAGGTCGGGCGGAGGAGAGGAGGGGAGGTGGCGGCGAACTCGAGGGGAGGCTTGAGGGCCTGGGCGGAGGCGGCAACGGCGAGGAAGGCGAGGGCCAGAGCGACGAGCTTGAGAAAGTCCTTGGTTTTAGAGAGGGGGGAGAGAGGGAGAGGGAGAGAGGGAGAGGGAGGGAGGGAGAAAGAGAGAGAGAGAGGAGAGAGAGAGAGAGAGAGAGAGAGAGAGAGAGAGGAGATGAAAGAACGTTGCGTTTGAGGGATTGAGGAGAGGGTATAAGGTTATTTTGGGATTTTAGCTTAGTTGGCATGTAATAATTGCTAAAAAAAAGCTGCAGCACAAAACGTCACATTTTAAGGTGCTGAACCATACGGGGAAAAATTGAAGGGGCTGCAACACATGAAGTTTCTGCTTTTGGGGCTTAGACATATTTTCCCAAAAATTTATTTGGGTTAATCAAGCAAATCTTAGCCATAGAAATTGATTTCAAACAAGTTAACAGCATGTTTGGTAACCAGGATTTCATTGTAAATAATGTATTTGGCCCAATTCTATTGTTTGGATCCAAAAGAATTTCAATACTAGATATTGGCTCAAATTCATTAACATTTATCCATTAACATTTTAAAACTATAGTAGGCCCATAATTCTGAATTCCAACGAGTTGGCTATCATTTGCAATTCCATCTTCTCTCTCCACTTCCGCTCTCGCGATTTGCACCGCCCCGGCTCTCGCGATCTCTCTCCCTCCCCACTTCCTCTCTCAACCGGTGGTGGCGGCGACAACGAGGAGGAGGAGGAGGAGGAGATCCAGTTTCACCTGCAAGCCCTAATTTCACCTCCGGCGAAAACAATGATCATCGAAAACGGTGAGAACTTCTCAATCCTCTATCTCTAGTTCCACCGAAATCCTAAATTCTAGATTCAAACTCTATTCTCTCAATTTTGATGGAATTACAACTAAATTTTTATGGGGAAATCCCCCAAAACCAACTCTCATTTTGAATAAATCTTTCGACCCTGATAATGTTATTTGTTTCTCGAAATCACTTCTTTGATTCAAAATGAACATCGATGAAGGGTTTCAAAAGTTTTGAGAAACAATATTTCGCTTCCTGTAGAAAAAAAGACTTAGAGCAAGATATAGGAATGACATCTT